AGTAAAATTTTCAAGACTCTAGCATTTCGATTTAAAAAGTTAAGAGGGGTGGGCTACTTATGATTCCTACTGTAATTTACAGATAAGTTTTATTTTAAAACAAATCATTTTACAAAGATAAGTTTATTTTATACTGTAAAAGATTTATTTTACTAATAACTCATTTTATAAAAATTGTTTATTTTACTAATAATCCATTTTACAAAAATTGTTTTTTTAAATAACACTAGCCCAAATTCTAGTTTTAATTAATGACAATGACTAGAATTACTTTGTTTGTAAAGTAAACTATTGATGAAAATAAATTATTTATGTATTTAAATTCATAAAAATTTATTATCATAGTTAAAGCTAAAAATTAGGGACCTTGATTTAATATATATATATATATACCTTACCAAAATCACTTATATTTTTTATTATAAAAACTAACTTTAAACTTTAACCTAATTATTAAAATAAGCTAAAAAGATACACCAAAAATTTTTTGAAAATTTCATATTAAAATAAATAAAATTTCTAGCTTCTGCTGTAACATTTTTTATTTAATTTTTTTATTAGTTAATAAATATTAAAAAACATTTATTATGCATTAAAATATGCTATTTAAATTTGATACTGTAAATTTTTTCTACAGTATTTAATTTTCTTTAATTTAATTAGTAACTATAAAAAATATATGTATTAATCCAAGTATCAAAATTTATAAATATTTATAAATATACAGTATATAAATACTATACATGTAAATATATATATATATTTTTTAATTCAGCAGTCTTGCCTTTACTGTTTATTAGTACTCTAAGGTATTGTGATTACAAACGTACATACATATATTTACAACTATCTAATTTATTACAGATAAGGCTCACCCAGTTACTAACTTAGTACCTATATACAATTTGCTATATGAGATTTTACCTCCTTAATAACTGTCTCTTTTGACCAGACCAATTACTAAATCACTGGATGGTTCCCAAACCTAATCATATATACCTTGCTATATATATACTACTATACAACGTCTACTAACCAACTTCTACCCCTCAGTATTTATCACATTACTCCTAATTCATTTCTTGTATCACTTCCAAATTGGTGTCTCTTGAGTGGGTGCCCTTGATGCTTCCAGTTTAGTGTTCTCGGGATATTACTCTAAGAGCCTAGTTCATATTTCAAATCAGGTACGAGACCTGCTGACACAACCAGAATGTTATTTCATAGTTCTCAAGCATTAACATCGTACACCACCAAATTAGGCTACTAATCCTTCTATAGTACTCTCTATTAGTATGGTGATACAGGGTTTAGATCCTTCAGATGGGAGTTAAGTATCTCATTTAATTACTGTTACAATCCAGTAACCCAGGACCTGCACCTCTGCTATGTTTCATCATAGACTCCCATATAGGTTGTGCAACTATTACTCCCTAGCCTGTCTTTATTTTCGTACTACCAGATTGCCTGCTTCTATACTTTTGGGATTTCTTTTAGCCAGTTTTTCTTGTTTTCTTGTACTAGAGGTGTTCTATACTTGGTAAAGCTATTCTTTTACTACAGCTCTTTACTATTCACCGCTTCTCTCACCACTTTTAAATATACTACATACAGCTATCCTCCCAATCAAGATCCCAATGCCAGCTTAGGGTTGTTGGTGCTACCTTGCCAATTGTAAATTCACATGCACAGCCTTCTGTAGTAATATCTTCCATAGCCCATATCACACATAGTGCCCATTCTTCTCCATGGCTCGGGGCTCCTTCCAAGAATTCTTTATTGGCCAAATATGTACATCACATGGTCTTACTGCCACAGGGTTTCGCATTTGAAAGCTCCCAAAGGTTTTAGAGAAAATTAATTAAATTAATTACCACCAGCTATAATTGAACCATTGACCTCATCTGTGGAGAGTTAGATGCCCAGATCACTAGGCTATAAGACCCTAACCTCTACTGTACATGTAAATATATAATACAGTATATGGCTATATTTTTATAGTATCTTAAACAAGTAATTAAAAAGTAGTTAATACAGTATTAATAGTTAATAAAAATTTTTTAAATATACTATATTTATTATCTAATTTATACTACTAAAGTCATTTGCTTCCAGGCATTTGATTGGCTACCTATTAGGCACAAGTATTTAGACTTGTCACAGGCTACTTGTATATACTATACATACAGTATATAATATTTATAATTTTTAATAACTTGTAATCAAAAATTAATACTGTATTATATTTGTATAGATACTACAGTATAATGATTATACTTCTATATATATTATTATTTGTAATTACATCAAATTAAATTATTTATTTCGATTAAAATTTCTTATAGATTGTTAAAAAGACCAGAGAAAAAAAGATGATAGAATCGTGATGAAATAAACTATATAAATATGAAAATTTTTAGTATAGTCATCAATAAAATATATAATTGTATTATATATTTTTATAGTAATTTTGTTGTCAATAATTAAAATATAATTAGATGTTAAAAACTAGAATGAAATAAAATTAGTAATAAGTTTTTTTTTTTTAAAGTATTAATTATTTTTGTTTAAAATATTAAATATTAATTAGTTGACTAGTTTTTGAAAATATAACAGCTATATACGTATACGTAATATTAACATTTCTATCTATATATATAGCATAATTTAATAAAACTATTATATATAATTTTATACGTATCTTGCTTTATAATACTGTATAACTATAAAATTAATAAAATATATATCGATATGTTGAAAGTGGGAATGAACGAAATAATTATACTAAAAATCCCAACCCTAACCTTAAAAATTCTGAATCAACTTAAATTATGTTCCCACTTTACGACATATATATACTAATATCGAGTTAGGGTTAGGAAAAATGATATTAATGTCCTTTTTCGTGTTAGGATTAGGTGAGCGTATAAAAGAAATATCTGATTCAAAAGAATTTTTTTTTAACAATCGTACGTACTATCATGATTTCCACATGTCGTACTGTTATATACCCCGCGAAACGCAGAAGTGGAAAATCATGAATATTTTCCCGGATTTTTTCGGCTCCGAAGAGAAAAAAATCCGGAGCAATTCATTCGTAACGGGAATAAAAGTGTTATTCTCACGTTTTGTTAATTGTCGACCTGAGACTCTACTAATTTGAATTATGTCCAAGAAACCTCGAAATATCAAACGGGCTACTGTTATAACGATATTTTTTTAAAAAATTTCAATCTACATAATATGAAATGTCTTTGGTTAAACTGACATCAATATAATGAACAAATTCTTTATTTTTAGAAAGTACCGATATACAGAGTTATGTAACTACAAACACTTCATATACAAAATTCGTATTATAAATAGTTTGATGTTCGTATATATCATTTAAATTACACGAATTAAGTAAGTATTGGTGTTAAAACAAACAAGCCTGTATAAAATAGAAATGATGCGTAGTTATTTAAATGTCAGAATAGAAATTAAAATTACACAGTTTTTCATTTAAAAAATCCGAAAATGGTTTTTAATCGTCGAATAAAAGTTTACGTTTACGCATGTAAATACGTAAAAATTTCAATTTTTTAGGTTTTTTTTTTTTTAAAAAATTTCGATTTATTGTGAGATAAACACTATGAGACAAACACTATGAGACAAACATTAGGAGACAGAAATACAATATGATTGGCTACTGCTATAACACATGTTTCTTATTATTGTTGCACAAATTTGAACATAATACGTATCGATGTTAAAACCCGTGGATACTTTACTGTATGAAGAACCGGGTGCATATTTGGGATATATCATATTAAAAGTAGTAAATCAATATTGGTATACCACGGGTCTTATTCAAGAAATAGGATAGAATAATACCAGGGTTTTAATCAGAGACATTAAAATTAGTATTTACTATATATATTTTATAATAATTTTTTTGTTTTAAATTAACTAAATATTTTATATTTGAATCCGGAGCAACGCGACGGGTTAGATGCTAGTACGTATATAAGTAATAATATCTGGCAATAAATTGTACGTCAATGAAATTCAATTATAATTGGTGTTAACGTTATCATTAAACATAATCTTAATATGGAAGTTACCGTTAGTTTTGACGAATTGGGGAATTTAAGAATATTGCGGAATGTGCACAAATGCACAAACGATGAAAACTTAGATGAGTAAGAAAAGCATTCGTCATTTTGAAAAAAAAACGTGGCGTAGATGATGTTTTAAACATATTACAGTATTATATTCGAATCATGATTTCATAATTAAAACTGGTCTATTATTATTTACGTTAGACCCGACCGAATAGACCGAATGGACCGAATAAACCAAACTTAAAATTATTAAGAATTCTGAAGATCAAATGTAATTTACATTACGTCTATAAGTACGTAAGTATGTGTGTACAAATCTTTTTTCGGAAGATTATAGAAAAAAAGGAGTGAACGGCCGTTTTGTCCTATTATGTAAGCTGAAAATAAAGAATAAATATATAATGGTATATATCAATATATTGTACATGTAACTTGAGTACAAAACTCACATTCAAAATTTGTACCTAAAAAAGGTAAAATTTTATTTGGGAAACAAAAATATCTTTCATTGTAATTACAGATTTCCGATTAATAAATATGTTTATTGTCACTAGTTTTCCTGAGGTTTCTTATGAATAAAAAAATTTAATTAAATTTTGGTTCTTTATCACCATTCGGTGATCATTTAATCTAAAATATGTCATTTGTCTCATAATTTAGAAAGCATAAGTTAGAGCTTGACAAATTTATTATTGGTAAGTCTTTGTTGAATTTTTTCTCAATATATCATTTAAATTTTCTCATTATTTGTTAATAAAGCGAATAACGAGAAAATTTTTCAAATTATTACGGCTATATGACATAAACCTAAAAGGTCCATGTCTCACAATTCCACCAAAATGTATGACGAAGATGACGCTAATAATATTGGCGCTGAGCGCCTATCGCAGTCTCAAAAATCCCATGATCATTCCTCCCCTTCACCTCATTCTTCACTCCCTTCCAACCGAAATCGAAACAGCGATATTATTAATAGTGATTACTTGTATCCAACTCAACAACAAAATATAGCAAAAAGTTCTAATAATAGCAACACAAATTTAAGCAATAATCCAAGTACTAATTCAGCTGAAAGATATAGTAAAATATTTCCGGATTTTTTCTCAAATTCTTCAAATAATTCTTACAGAAATTCTGATTCAAAACGTAGTTCTAATATTATACATCCTTATCAATCTTCTACTCAGAGAAGAGATCCTGATTTTGAAGATTTTAATTTAAATAGTGATCAATACGAACCATTAAACGCTCATCGACATAAATCTTATTTTTCAACTTCATCTTCTCAACCCTCACCTTCTTTACAGAGCGACCCAAATCATCAGAAAGTTCCAATTTTACAAAATAGAAGAAAATCTCTCTGCTTGTGTTGTGGAATTATAGCTTTTATAATCTTAATCATGATTCCAATTTTTTTGTTTGTGATTGCACCTGCCATCGCTCGAAATGTTGTTGCTGAATCAAAAATATCTTTTAATAATGTAAAATTGACTAATATTTCTGAAGACAACTTTTCGTTGACTTTTACTGGTTCTGGTAAATATATATATTTTTTTAAAAAAATCTCTATTATTTTCTATTGATCTATCTATTTCTTTTAATTTATTAACATAATTTCTTTGAATATAAATTCTTTGGATATATTCTTTGATATATTATTCTTTTTTCTTTAGTCTCAAATACTGGTCCATTATCGGCAGCCATAACAATTCCTGATGGAGTTACAGTCTCTTTTAAAAATACAACGTTAGGTAGAATGGCTCTAGACCCTATTAATACTAGACCTTTTAATGGTGCTACTTTACAATCTACAAAATTATTTAAAATAGAAGACAAGAAAGCTTTTACAATATTTAGTAAATTTATGTTGACTGAAAAAGAATTTACTTGGCATTTAGAAGGAAATACTATGATCAAAGTTTCGGGTTTGACCATTAATGATATTGGATTATCAAAAGATGTTACTTTGAGTGGTAATATATCATTTAATCTCATTTAATCTCATTTTCTTTTAAATTTTATAAATTTTTATTTTTTATTTTTATAGGAATGAATGATTTTCCAAACGTCACTGTAAATAGTTTTGATGCTCCTTCTGACCATCCTGATGGTGGAATTTCAATTTCAATTAAATCTACGATAAATAATCCTTCCCAAATTAGTGTTGAATTAGGAGACGTAATGTTTGATATTGTTCATATGAATCAAACTATTGGTCAAGTTTTTTCAACAAATTTCACTCTTATACAAGGTGATAACAAACTTTCTCTTGAAGGTCGTTTGTTACCTCAAAATTCTCCGGCTGGTGTAGCTGCTGTCAGTGATATGTTTTCAAAATTTATTGCTGGTGATGATTCTTCTATAAATGTTGTTGCTAGGACTGTTAAGCCAAATAATTCTGCTTCTCCAATTTCTTGGCTTCAAGATGCATTTAATGGAACTGAATTAGATGTAATTTTTCCGGGAAGAAAAAATCTTAGTATCATTCATGGTGTCACTATAGATTCTTTAGATCTTGAGTTTAGTACAACAGATCAATACACACCGATGGCATCATCATCATTGCTCACTGCCTCTTTTAGTATTCCATTCGGATTTAAACTTTTTGTAAAGCAAATTTCACAGGATATCGAATTATTTGATGGTCAAACAAAATTAGCGACACTTAGTATTCCATTCACTACTGCTTCTGGTGACTCGGAATCTGGTAACCTTACTTCAAGTTTTGCACCAACTCAATTTAAGGTAGTTCCAGGATCTGAAAATGATTTTGATGATTTTGCCAAAAGATTAACGGTTGAAGAAAATGTTACACTCACAATGAAAGGCATAGCAAATGTTATTTCCAATACTTCAATTGGTAATGTAACAATTGATGGAATAAAATTTGAAGTTCAAACAACACTTCAAGGAATTCAAGGTCTTACATCATCTCCAACAGTAATCAATTCTTTAAAAGTTACCGGAGGATCTGCGGAACATATAAACATTGAATTATTAGTTAGTTTATCAAATCCATCGAACGTTAAAATCGGTTTAAATAGTGATGTCATATTTGATCTAATATGTAATGATACGATAATTGGTAGTGTGATAATACCAAATCTTGTACTTGAACGTGGTCAAAACAATCTCACAGTCCTTGCACAATTTTCACCAAATGGTGATGAGGCACGACAAGTTGGACAAAATTTATTGAATAATTTCTTGGCAGGAAAACCAAATAATGTATCAATCAAAGGAAATTCAAATTCGACTACTATAGAACCTTTACGTCAAGCTTTTGAAACTATAGAATTAACAACAGTTATGCCTGGTCTTGTGACAGAGACACCAATATTAAATAGAACATTTTTCTCAATTAGATTTAATTCTTTGTTTGATAAAAAAGGGAAGGCTTCAATTGAGATATTTAATCCGTTAGACACAGTGATAAGATTTTTAAAAATTGATGCGAATGTTACGGTGAAAAATGAATTAATTGGAATAATTAATCAAACATTTAATGAGAATGAACAAATTGTAGTTCAAGGTGGTCAAAGTCTAATATCCAATGATATGGAATTAGAATTGAAAATTAGTGTTAAAGCTATAAAGAGTTTAGTAGATGCTGTAAATGGAGATTTGAAAGTTAATGTTACAAGTAATATTACAATTAGTGTTGGAGACGAAAACGGTGGATTTGTTACTGATATTGATTATTGTAAGTATTCTCTCTCTCTATTGATTTTTTTATTATTGGTTATTTTGAATATTAACATACTGTATATTATTTTTTTTAATTAGCACAAAACGAAGTACCAACGGTACTTAAAAATAAAAATCAAAATGATATATTACCATTCTTTAATTATTAATTTTATTGTAAAAAGGGTTGTTTTATAAAAAAAAAATAGTAGCTAAAACTTAACCTTTTTAAATGGACAATCTTTTTGTATAAATTCGTTTTCTATTTGCTTTACTATTTTTTTTTTTTTCTTTTTTTTTATATGTATTAAAAAAAAACATCTGTAACATAGCTTAACTTCAAATCTAAAAAAAATACAATTTTTGCAATACTGTATAACACTGTAACTATTGATTAATTGTATATATGTTGATATGTTTTACAATATTCAATTTTTTTTATAAAAATATTTGTTTAGTATTATAGAATATATATAACGTGACATGCAATACCTATTAAACTTTGGCTATATTGCTATATTGAGATGTTCCTCATTCGCGTAAATTACATCATATATCATCTCGCGTGAAATAAAACTAGCTCCCAAAGCAAAAGTTTCCTGACGCACTAATATCCGTATTCTTTGAGATTTTTTTTCAATTTAATAAAAAAATAATTATTTATTTCTTTCTCTTGAAGTCTGCTAAAAAGTTTTCAATAATATCCAAATCCATAAAATCTTTTGCATTCTTTATCACTAGCCACCGAAACATTTTTCGTTGAATCTTCTTTTGTCCGGTTTTTAAGGCTGACTCGGAGTAACACTCCTTGATATTATCCTCGGCGATCTTTTTGGCGAAGATATCTGACTTACTGGTGCGTCATAAAGATCCCAGATTCTTCCGAATCGGCAGAATGACGCCTTCTATTTTGAGCTAAATGAAATTATTAATGTGAATGAAATAATTTGTACATGATAATAAATAAAGCATATTTTAGTGAACTTGTTTTGCTTTCTTTATTTTTAAAAATTATCAAAGTTCTTTATACATGGTCGATAGCTAGTATCTCTCGGCCGTTTTCGTCTTTGTCTTGTTACAGACTCTGAACGCCCTATAATAATAATTGTTATATATAGTTATATATATCAAATGTAAAATATCGAAATGTATATAAAAATATACTTACCGCGTGAAGTACTGGCAACTGTATTTATCAAATAAATTAGAATAATAATAATAATAATACCATATACGCGTAATATTGAGCCCCTGTACGTTATTTCAGGATGATAATTTGAATCAATTATACAAATTTACTTACTATTTTCATCATCGTTATTTATTTTCCGGATCTACTACGCCTTGTATAATCGCAATGTTTTTAAATAAGAATAGAATCAAAAATTTCATATGTATATTAAGTATAAAATTTACTTACTATTTTCACCAGTATTATTTGTATCCGAATTGTTATCCGGATCGACTATATTGGCTCTTTTACCAGCATTGATCAAGTTAAAAGATACGAATTTGGCGATAATCAATTATTAAGAGAAAGAATTAGAGAACTGCTCTATATTTTTTTCAAGATACCGTGAACGAAATCACAAGGTATTAATTTGCCACGAGATCAAGACATAATGTAAGTATGAGCGATAAGTATAATTGGTTAGTATTGATGTAAATGTAATTTATTAGTAATGTTGCAATTAGACTTGTCGTAACATAACTGATAATAAAGGCAAAAATGCCGTAACTCATTATAATTATTACATATTACAGAAGTAGCTCGGTATCATTGGGACGTCTGCATCACTAGTTGTAATATATTAAGTGAACGTAAGTATGAAGTCATGGGCAATATATATTTAAATGAAATAAGGGCCCATCTTTCGTCTTTGCTGCTAGTTCGACGAAAGTCTAGTACCTCCCACCCACCACCGGGGCAAACAGGCCAGATATCAGAAAAGAGAGAAGTGCGATGCTATGGAACCTGTAGACCACGTGTGCAGCAAGGCGAAATCCCAATAGTTTATTTCGTAGTAGTTGTTTAACAGAACCAATGATCGAGTGACAAATAAGAAAAAAAATTTTTTTTTGAGAAAAATGTATAAAAAAAAATATGCGAAATTTACAAGTTTAATTATTTTGTAAAGAAATAAATTTTACATAATTGGGATTTGTGGATGGCTTTTGAAAAGAAATGAACATATTACAAAATTATTAGGTTATTTTAGAGTGAATGTTTAGTAAAGCAACATAGCCATGATTCCTTATTCGTCAAATACACACTAACAATAAAAAATAATATGCTAATTAATATCAGCAAAATAAATTGAGTGAAACCATTTTTTAAAGGTAGAAATGGTAAATAAAATTTATTTAATATAAAACCTATAACTTGCTGAGCACTAAATTTCTCGTATGAGATCATCTCATAACTCGCGCGAGATCACATGATATGCGAAATATTGTTTGTCTCTAAGTTCATGACTAAAAAAAATCAATTTTTTGATGAAATATTTTTTTGAGTGGCAATTTTTTTAACCCAATTTGGTAGTCTCTAGATGTATATTTTTTGGTGTCTAAGGACTTTCAACGTTTAAGTCCGGAATATCCAAGCATGTATGTTATCCGTGGATTTTGCCTCAAAATCTCGAAAGCCATTTTCCGAAAGAACATAATACCGACTTAATTGGCCAGCATTATAACTAATGCCGGCTAACTTTGTCGATATCATGTCCTTTCGAAAATCTGTTTTATGCACAAAACGCACATTTTTCAGATTTGGTGTGAGTACAAGAGGCTTTCGCTTAGGGATGTACAAGCCCTCGGTTATTGCAATGTTTAGTGTATTCATCCTGTTAGGTGCGGGGACTGTTTAGCAATATTTTTTGATAAAGGTCCACTGACCCTCGGGGAGGGTTGGTTGGTTAATTATGCAACTTCTTTTATATAACAAAAAATATTTTTCCATATACTTGCTGAGAATATTATCTCATTGACTGTTATTTTATGCAAGTTCGCTTTATTGTAATTAGGTTTATAAATAAAAATAATTCGAATGAAGCTATAAAAAATTGTAGTGTCCTAATAATATACCCAGATATAAGAATTTTGAATTACAGAATTATTAAAATATGGGTCTTTGCCTTGAAAATGACCTTACGGGGCTATGTAGATTTTACGAATAAAAATTAAAATTTCTAGTTATCTAATAATCTAATTTACTGAATAACTAGAAATTTTAATTTTTATTCGTAAAATCTACATAGCCCCGTAAGGTCATCTTCAAGGCAAAGACCCCATATAGGTCGTTTTTTAGGAAAACCACAGATTGAAGGGTAGTTTTAATTTTGAAAAAATGCGATTAAATTTTGTGCTACTTAAAATTTAATCGCATTTTTCTCAAAATTAAAACTACCCTTCAATCTATGGTTTTCCTAGAAAACGACCCATATGGGTGCTGCCAAGGAAAAAAGGCCGTTCGGACTTTCAATTATATTTCGTGTACATTAGTTGCCCATGGAAAATTTATCATTATAGATTTTCCATAGACGGTTAACTGTATACAACATATAATTGAAAGTCCGAACGGCCTTTTTCCATTGGCAGATATATAGTATTCTCTTGATACTGTATATAACTTGAGTTGGATCTCTACATAATGCGAATATAGAAATATTTCAGCCAATTGATATCGTTGTACTAAAGACTTTGTCTAAATTTGAAGAAATTTTTCATAAAAAAAGTAATTAAATTATTATTTAATAAATACACATTAGATTAGTTATATTAATTTATTAAGCTCGACAATCATACAGTATAAGATCTGGCGGTAATCTTAAATGTATGAATTAAAAACAACGAAAATATGTATTAAGCAAATATGGGAGGCCTTCATAAATTTTTAAGAAAAAAATTTCAAACACTTAATTAAATACTAAATTAAAAAATACTTGGAAGATATTTTAGAGGATTTATGTAACATTCAATTCATACAGTAGAAATATAAAGGTTATTACTACGAGGATGAGATAAAATCTTATATAGCAGATCTGGATTAACTAAAAAAAGTGGATGAAAATGATTCAGGTGTTTATGGGGATCTTGTCATATATTGTTTCTGAAATCTTGCAAGGAGAACCATTCACACAAGGTGCGGACATCTACAGTTTCAGTAGTGTTTCAGTGTCATCATGTCAGCCGAGTTTTACCCCCCAAACACCAGATTTTTGCAATACGATGTATGGAATCTAATCCAAGAAAATGGACAATCGTTTATGATATTATGAGTAAACTTCACAAAATAATGCAGTCACACTCCTCTATAATCACCTCCTATATAATCTTATATTTTGTATAATCACCTTAAAAATACTTCTATATATATACTGTATATATAAGCACATCAAAATAAAATTTTATAATCACATATTTTTTGCATAAAATAAACTGTGATTATAGTGGAGTACGACAGTGCAGTCACACCCCCTAAGTGCACACCTTTAATGTTATATAAAGGACGTAAGTTGGTTACGACACTTATGTGCGAGGAAGGGGCACACAAGACCATAGTGAAAAAAAATGCAAAATGTGCACTTGGAGGAGATGTGCGCTTAGGGAGATTAAATTTTATAATTGTTATATGAATTGGGACCAAGCAGAGGCGTGCATATTAGGAGGTTTTTCATATACCGTGCACTTAGAGAATGTGCTCTTAGGGGGGTCTGACTGTAATAATAAATTAAAATCGATTCTCGAAAGCGATAAAGTAATCAAGGAATTACTAATTATCTCATAGAAATTTTTGAATCACATGTACACGAGAAAAGTTCATCAACACGCGCGAGATCACGGCAAGAAACCAAAACTTAAATATGATTATTAATAAAATTTAATTCTGCAGCGTTTAATAATGTTTAAAAGATTGATTGATTTTCGATTTTATTGGTTGATCTGTATAAATGTTTCTTTGGATTAGTGACTTAACTCATGACTCACGAGTTAAACTTAGATGGTTGGATAAATTTGTAAATTGCGAATTACAAACAAATAACTTCAAATAACGAGTTACACGAAGTAAATATAATTTAATTTACGTTGTTATAAAAAAAAGTATAATTAATAGTTTTATTTGTTATAAAGCAAATACCGGTATATCAAATTACAAGTTACACCCTCCTTTAGAAAATAGTTACAGACGAAACTTTGAGTAGATCTACGTTTTGGCTTATGAGTAGTTGTGTTTTGACTACTCTCTTCATTATCTCTTCATTACAGATTCTTCCCGTTCATTATTGGTTTGTTTTACGCCATGTTTGTATGGATGAAATTGTTTTTTAAACTCTTAAATTCCTTTATTTTTATTAAAATTTGCAATTATAATAAATTATGTAGTTTTAATACTGTAATTACGTTAAAAATTACACATTATTTTATAAAATTTATTAATGCGAATTATTTATCACTTTAAACTTCATTATATCATGAGAATTCGCGAGTTAAAATTTCATGATTCTATTTCGAATTATTCAGTTTAATCATATAGGATGTTACATAAATGCATAAAATGAGTATGTCCAAACACGAAGGTATAGTGCCGAAATGCTCGCTCAAACGTTAGTGGCACCCTCTATTCACCTAATATGCATATTCGTACCAGATACGTACGACGTACTTAAGTGATAAGATTTTTTTCAAATTTTGTCACACATAGGTAATCTAAAATGTAAATAATAAGCCTTATCTAAAGAATCTTGTCCATTTTTCGAGCATAGGATTATTTCCCCCCCAAAAAAAGCGATTATACGTATTTGGTTTTGTGCTGTTTTCTATGCTCCATTTTTACCTAGCTTCGTGACATAAGACCCAGCAGCTTGTTGATTATTGGCTTTGTTGTATTAAACTCAATAAACCAACGAATTGATCGTTCATCAAAAATTTTGAGCGAAGAAAAGTATAATCCTACTTATATAGTAACAATGCGCCCTTTTTTTTCGAGATTCACTGTTTGCCTATCGTTATGTTTCGTTTCAAAAATTTGGCTGCAGCTGAGTAATCACGATAATGCAATCTTGGCATAGAATCTATGACGTTAATGATTTATATCAGATATGACCTTATTCATAAAAAATTATTAGCATTTAATTTGATTAATATAACCTATGATCAGAAGTTATACGTATTATATAATCAAAGTTTTCAGTTAATTAATATTAATTATTAAAATTGATAACGATAAGTATAAAGATCATTAATTAATTAACGAACTTAAAGTTATTAATACTCAAGTTCTTAATAAATATACGTAGTTAAGTTATTCCAATTAATTATCTTTATTAATTATTAATATCAACCATTATGAATTTATTTCACTCATTTAATCGGGGAATAAATTCAAACTTACAACGAGATGAAGATATAAAATTTTTATAAAAGTATTTGGTGGTTTAGAAGAGGAACCTTCTTTAAGTAGTTAAAAAAAAACACGAGATAGAGCTTATGACATTAATTGACTCATCTAGCTTATAACATCAACTGAACTATCTATCTCTCGGTGAAGAGAGATAATTTGACGTTATTTTATATTTACTCACATTTTGAATCCGGATATGTAGCAAGTTTTGATATTTTAGAATTCTGCAAATATATCATTTATATATATACTGTATATATCAAAGATTTAAGTTAAATACAGTAGTCGCCTAAAATTTTCTAAGTTGGAAATCTTGTAGCTGGCAGGATTCAACTAGCCAAATACGTACGTATGTACGTACGTTTAAAATTTAGATGGTTAGATCATATAAAGTTAATTAGTTCTCTTTATCATTTATGAAATTTTCGCAATGTCGCGATTTTTTTTTCGTAAAAATTCATGATTTTGATTGGCTAATCGATACAAACTTTAACCTACCCCACTTTTTTTTTAGGTATTTACGTAATCACGATTAGATCAGATAAAAAAAAAATTTTTTTTTTGTGCAAGGGTTTACACTATATATTATGTTTGTTCATAATATTCATAAACAATAATAGGCTTTCACTTGTAGTTATGTATTCGGGTATTTCCCGAAGAATATTACCCAAGTGGGATCAGTTCGTTACGTCGGTTAGTAAAAATAAAATGTGTGACGGATATTTACTCGAGCCTTCTTGGACGTTGATGATTATTACATTTCTTCTCAGCATTCGTCTCGTTCTACCTTTGCCTTTTCGAGAAATCATCAGGGAAACATTATCGCATCAAAATATATTATACCCGCGATTCCAATCCAAATATTTAATCGTGATAAATCTACTTCCATAAAATCTTCGACTTCGGCTATCGAATTTAAACTTACTCATCCTCGTAAAAAAGCTCCTCCGTTACCTGTATTCGAACCGATAACTCCTTCGGCTGAAGAAGCTGTTACTAATATTTTATATAATACGCCTGCTCCTTATCCTTCCCCTCCGAAAAGACATGTTCTAAATTGTCTTGTACAGAATGAACCTGGTGTACTTAGTAGAGTGAGCGGTATTCTTGCCGGAAGAGGATTTAACATTGATTCATTGGTTGTGGCTAGTACCGAAGCTTCTGACTTAAGTAGAATGACTATCGTGTTACGTGGTCATGATGTGGTCATTGAACAAGCAAGACGACAACTAGAAGAGTTGGTAAGTATTTATTTATCCTTGCTTGTACTATATATATAAATATATAAATATACATATTTATATATATATCGAAATTTTATTAATTTCCTCTTTAGGTTCCTGTATGGGCTGTACTTGATTATACGCAAACTTCAATCGTAGAACGTGAATTATTGTTGGTTAAAGTATCCACTTTGGGACCGGAACATTTACATGAGCAATTAATTGCTATTAAACATACTGAATATGATGATGAGTTTATGCCTGAAGCTGATTTAGAACCTGAGGTATTATGATATTTAAAATTTTTTAATATATATATATATATATATATTTTTCGAAAATATATTTTATTAGAATTTCCCAATTTTTATTTTATAGTCTCCTGATGCCACATCCGTACTACCTGATGATTATGCCGATTATAAAGCTAGACCATTGACACCATCTGAAGCGTTACGTCAAAAGCATGCACATCTTCGCGCATTAATTGATCTTTGTAAAATTTTTAAAGCTCATGTAATTGATGTCGCTAATGATAATGTTGTTATCGAATTGACTGCTAAACCCACTAGACTCGATTCGTTCGTAAAATTATTAAAACCTTTTGGTATTTTGGAATCTGCAAGAAGTGGTAAGTCTCAAGAAAAATATTAAGTTCATTTTCATAGTATTTTAAATATTTTATTTTTTTTTATATTTTCTTCGCTTTAATATTCACGAATTAAACGCGTTATAGGTATGATGGCACTTCCACGTACTCCACTTCTGGATAAAAAAGCTTCTGTTATTGAGGAAGAAGAAGATGCTGGTGTGGATGCTACTATGTTACCACCTGGCTAAATAATACATTAAATATGAAAATAACTATTACTAAAAAAATATGTTCAATTTTATATTATTACGTGCAATGCTTGAATGTAATTGTATATAACTTTGTTAAATGGATGGTTTTATTATTTATCTATTATTTTATTTACTGCAAGCAATATTACTCTAAAAGAAATATATTTATATTCTTTTCGAAATTTACCGGGCGATTACTTAAAATCACATGATAAAAAATAAAAAAAGCATATATCATGTGATAAACTGGTTTAATTCTATAATTATCATCGACATTTATCACGTCAGACGCAGTCATGAATTCTGAATTTTCTGCACCAGACAATATTGATAATTCTACAATTAGTGTAAATGAATCTTTAGAGGAATCCTTACAATTTGAACATAGTTTACAAGAACAATTTTCTTATTATCAAACTTTTCAATATGATTTTTCGAAATCACTTATATCTCTTTGTTCGACCAAAAATCTTTTTAATCAAACTGTATCTCAAAATTTACAAAAATTGTTTGACGCGAACCAACAAGAATTGGGTTATATACCCAATGGATCTGAAGGCAATTTTTTTAAAACCGCTAAATGGTATGTAAATTAAAGGTTTAAATTATTACTTTTTGCAAAAAAAAATATATATATACGTGTCACTTATATAACATAAAATTTTAAAGGTCTCCTGATGGAACATGTATTTTAACTTCTTCTAATGATAATACATTAAGAGTGTTTAACTTGTATGTATTATCTCTATATATTTTTACAATGATTTTTATGTTTACACTTTTTTACGTTTCTTATAGACCTTTAAACATATTTAATGCAAAAGAAGGTAATTGCCTTTCGGTTTCATTTGTATTTAGTAATATAAACTTAACTTACAATTATTTATATTGCCATTGATATTATAGAGCAAGATATGATGCCAGCTCTATGTAGTCATTCTGGAGAATCTGTGTATGAATGTTGTTGGTATCCACAAATGTCTAGTCAAGGTAATATAGAAAAGTAAAAAAAAAAAGTGAGATGCTTTTTGCATTTATTTTTCAAATACATTATCCACATGATTATTCACAGATCCGGACACGTGTTTTTTCCTCTCGTCTAGTCGAGAGCATCCAGTTCATTTATGGGATGCGTATACTGGAAAGGTGAATAAAATTTTATATTATCATTATTTAATATAAAAAGTTAAAATATAAGTCTAATAAAAAAAAAACTACTAAAAAATTATTAATAGATAAAATGTTCTTATATCATTATCAATCATCGTGAACAAATTGTTGGTCCAAATTCTCTAACATTCAATTTAGATGGTTCCATGTAAGTATATCTATATGTATATTTAAAATTTTATAATTCGAATTGCTAACCGTATTCGGTAAATATTCGAATGAAACTTTTTGAATAATTATTCTGTGAATATCGTGAATAAATATATATTTTTTTATTCGAATGCTAACCGTATTCGGTAAATATTCGGATAAAACTTTTTGAATAATTATTCTATGAATATCGCGAATAAATATATACATTTATTTAATGCTTTACTATGATCAGTTTATAAAATAAATCAATTATTTTATGGTATTTTTAAATGATAAAATAATTGAACTATTTCATAAATCTGAGATAGTAAATCATAAAATAAAACCGTTATTGCATACTTCGTATATAATATTTTTTATTCGAATAATATTTTTCATTATACATCATGAGAAAATCTTTAGTTATTTGTTTATATATTATCCGGATAAATTATGTTTATTCACAGAATGTTAAATAATTCGACAAATTTAAAATATTCGAATAAAAAATACATGTATATTTATCTGAATAATTCAAATATCATTTCGGATAAGAAAATATTTTCAATTAAAAAAATGAGTGATTCAAAGTTTGATTAATAATTTTATTATAGGATATATTGTGGATATAAGAATATGATTAAAATTTACTATACAAGTCGGCCAGGTAGTAACGGTGAGGAATATCCTACGACCCCTACGCGTAAAAGTAAAGAGGGACAAAAAGGTTGATTATTATCCTTGTTAATCATTATGATCATTTAATAAATTGTTTTCACATTTAACAATATGTATAATAGGTGTGATATCTTATCTGGCTTTTAATCCTGATCGTTCAGGTTTATATGCTGCGGGTTCTTATTCACAATCAATTGGGCTTTATGATGAACGCAATAATGAATTATTATTCCTTTTACGTGGTACATTGAATGAACCAATTGGAGGTGTTACCCAGGTAATGTATTTCTAAGGTGAGTTTAATCCCAATTTAATTAGTATTTAATCTTTAAATTGAATGAATGAATAAATGATTCGAAAAAATAGGTCCAATTTTCACCTGATGGTCATTATTTATTTTCGACATCACGGAGGAATAATAGTATTTGTTGCTGGGATATTCGTAATTCTGGTGAAGTTTTATACCGTCTACAAAGACAAGGTGATACGAATCAAAGATTATCTTTTGATATTGATCATTATGGTCGATTCTTGACTACTGGTGATCAAGTAAGTAATATTATATATAATTTCAATTTCTAATTATCTCAATTTTATCTTAATATTTTATTTTAATTATATAGGAAGGAAATATTATAGTTTATGATTTAGCTAATCCTAATGATGATGGTTGTCCACGTTTGGTATTAAAAATGGTAGGCCATAAAGGTACGTATTATTAAAAATTATTTTTTATTTTTAGTCTATATTATTAGTAAATACTTTAATTATTGATATATAATTTATGACTTTAGATGCTGTTTCAGCAACAACGTTCCATCCTTATTCACCCCTTATCGCTTCTTGTTCGGGTCAGAGAAAATTTGATTTGTTGGTAAACGAAAATATTAAAATTGATTTCACAGATAATAATAGTAAATTAGATTCATTAGAAATTAAATCGAAATGTAATAATATAGTTCAAGATAATTCTCTTAAAATATGGAAAGTTGAAGGAAATTATGAATGGCATCTTTATGAACAAGATTTAAATCAGTCTTAAGATATATTCATACGACGTACTTCATAAATCTAAATCGTTAATTTTTTAACTTCATAAATGTAATATGTTGTGTCTCTTATTATAACATCACTACTGGTTCTAACTTACCTATTTAGCATCCAAGCTTACCGTATTTCACTCCTAAAATAATTATCGGTTATGCGGATATTTTAATGGTGTACAGTATATTGGATCAGCATCACTTACTATTACGTCAAATTTCTATAATAATTTTATTAAACTCGACACATTGCATCTATCGCTACGTATAAAAATTAATGCCTTGTTACCATCGATGGAAATTCTTTGATGTAAGAACACATGTTTCCGCTTCAGAGAATTAATAAAGAAATATTCATAAAAAGAGCAGTATCTTGAAGTCATAATTATTTATTGCTTTATTGGTGATTTATTTTTATAGTATTATATTAGTCTTGGCCTTATCTACAAACATGGAAGATTTTTTGGTTTATTTTATGCCTATTTCTTCTATCACTATTTCAAGTGCTTTGTCTAAGCGTGTGGAATCAGGAGAATAGAGTGGTAATTGTGAAAAAGAGGTTAATAATTTCGTTGGAACAGGCCCTAAGGCGAGTACTACCTCTTGATTTTAATCGGATAGAAAGGCTTCAAAAGTTTTAAAAAAGATCTGGAGCAACGCGTAAGTTTCATAAATAATTTTATATCAGAAATGATGTATCTTTGTTTTGTGTGACTTATTTGTAGGATGTTTCAATAATAGATTGTTTGGTGAATGTCATTGTAACCAGATGCTAATATTGTTGCTTTAACTACAATAAGTTCACTGCCGGCAATTAATTTTATGAAATGTAGAAATGGTTGATCCCCGTGCGGGTGACATTTTATTTTCATCGTTTATTCAATTGAATAACTATATTTATTTTAGGTTTCAATTATGTTCGAAGAGGTAAGCTCCCTCATAAAGGTGAATTCCGTGGTATGTACGATTATGGTTGTTAGACGAAATCTTGAGGTTTCATGCTGACGAAACGCGAAAACTAGTTTCGTCTTTCGTCAAATAAAATCTTAAATGACGAAACTGATGAAAGGTGACGAAGGTGACGAAACTGACGAAACTGTAAAGGTGATAAAACAAATAAATACGAATATATAGTGCATACAAGCTAAAGACAGACTGTTACACAAACATGTTTCAAAATTTTGCTTAATCATGTGATTAGATTAT